TTTTTATTATGATAGCACTAGGAAACTAAGACAGAATTTGATGCCAGAGAGTAGGGGTGTTGCTCTAACAAATACCTGAAAATGTGGAAGTGGTTTTTGAGTTGGGGAAGTGGTAGAGGTTGGATGAGGTCTGAGATGCTTGGTAGTAAAAGCCTAGATTGCCTTGAGGAGACTGTTATGAACATCAGAATTATGAACATTAAAGGCAATTCTGATGAGGGATCAGAAGAAAGTGAGGATAGTTGTACAGAAAGCTTCTATAATCATGAACAGAATGTTGCTAGAAATGTGAACTTTCAATGTGCTTCTGGTGAGATCTTAAAAGAAGATGAAGAGCATGTCATTGGACACTGGAGCAATAGTGAACCTTATTTCAAAGTGGGAAAGAACTTGTCTGAATTATGTTTGAATGTTTTGTGGAAAGTAGAACTTGTAAGTGATGAACTTGGATACTTGACTGAGGAGATTTCTAAGCAAGATCTTGAAGGGCCAGCCTGGTTTCTCCTTGCTGCTTATAATAATGTGTGGGAGGAAAGATATATATTGAGGCATGAACTGTTAAGCAAAAAGCAGATAGAACTTGAAGATTTAGAAAATTCTATTGTAAAAATTAAGAAAGCTTGTTCTGGGGAGGATGACATCAAGAGTATGTCTAGGCAAATATTTGCTAAAGAGATTAGGCATGTGACCTATGGATCCAATCAATCATCTCAGCAGAAATGCTCCAGGTTTAAAAGCTGTCTGCCTCCTTGAATTCTACAGGCATAAAATAGGCCAGGAAAGGAAGGCCATTGCCAAAGCCAGGATAGTGGGGCCAACACCCAGGGTCAAGGGACTGCTACGCAGAATTCAGAGGGTAGGACCAACACCCAGAGTCCAAAGGCAGGGCCATTGCCCAGATGGACCTAAAGAGCAGAAGATTATTTTCAAGCTTTGAGATCTAATGAAAATTTCTCTGCTGGGTTTTGGACTTGCTTGGTATCCATGACGTCTTCTTTCCCTCCAATTTCTCCCTTTTGAGATGGGAATGTCTACCCAATGTCTGTTCCACCATTGTATTTTAGAAGCAGATAACTTGTGTTCTAGGTTTCATGGGTCCATAAATGGAAAGAAACTTGCCCCAGGATGAAACAAGCCCAGAGTCTCATCCATACTTGATTTAGGTGATCCAGAAGATGTGATTTGTGACTTAGAGTAGATGCTGGAATGAGTTAAGAGTTTTGGGGTACTGGGATGGGGTGAATGTATTTTGCACAAGTTGGAGGAGCCATTGGGAAGAGTGTTATGGATTGAATTAGGTTTTAGGTACACACTGATAAATAGCAATAGGTATTAGATATACATTGATAAATAGTACATGGTCCCAGTCTTCAAAAAACTCATGAAGCACTGTAGACGGGGTGAGTACATAGATTTATTACAACATAATTTGAAAACCTCTATAAAAAAAAGTGTTACGGGAACCCACGGAAGATCATAAATAACTTTCCTGAGTGAGTTAGGGAAGGCCACACAAAGAGACAATAGTTAACCTGGGTCTTGAAGGATGAGTAGGAGCTTTTATGTAAACAAGATGGAGGAAGATAGCCAAGGGAAAGAGACCAGTCTGTGTAAAGCTTCAGAATCATAGAGGGGCATGGAGTGTTTTTTGAACGGGGAGAGGTCCAGTGGAGAATATGGTACGTGAGGGGTACTGATGGAAGGTAACCCTAAAGAGGTAAGTTGGAGCTAGATGTGAAGTGTATCTTGTGACTAAAAGCTAAGTGGTGGGGAGACATCATTATTCTCTACCCAGCAGACACATATCGATTTTATCATCATCCAAAAATATCTGGCATCAATCTTTTCTTGAAAGACCTTTCAGAAAGAAAATTATGTATGTTAAGGCTGGAGTGGACCTTATGGATTCCTGGCTTTGGAATCACATAACCTTGAGTTCAAGTCCTGGCTCTACTATTTACTAACTGGGTCATTTTGATCAAGAGGTTTCTCCCATCAGACTTCATGTCTTTACCTGTACAACAGAAGGGATGGAACCACACAAAACTAAGGTGATGATTAGGAGTTGCCCCAAAGAGTAGCTTGTACATAGGATACACAGAGTAAATGCTGGCATCACCCTCTTCTCCTCTTCATTTGATTCTGTCTTCTTTCCTTATCAAGACCATACTTGCCCAACAATGTTGATAACAGAACCCATTTTTGCAGGCCTTTCAAGATGGGGATTTCACAACTCAGTATACAGACTCTATTAGAAAAGACTTTAAAATAATTAGAATATTCTAGGACTGTCCAAACTCCTTTTCTATACTGCCTATGAATGCAATGAAAAGAGTTCCATATACCGGTCCAATACCTACTACTCTGGAACACTCTATAGCTCTTCAGTATCGGTTGTCACAGTATTGACCTGTAAATCTGGCTGGAGATCAGAAGAAACAACGAACCCAGAAGAATATTATTGTCAGAACACTGTTCCAGCATGCTGAGATGACTTCCCAGAGTAAGACGAAATCACAATATCTTATGTTTCCTTTACACCCTGATGTTGATCTATCAGATTGGTTTCCATTCTAACCTGCTTCTAAACAACAGGCATAACAAGATTTTTCTGTATGGCTCATCCTGAGATTCTTTATTCCATTATTAACCACTAAATCACTCTCTTCCTATTTAGGGGAACTAAGCTTTAGAATCATAGACCGCAACAACTAAAAAATACCTTTGATAACATCTAGTCCAGCATTTCCCAAGAGAGTCAGAGGAAGTATGCAGCAGAATGAACAATAGAGGAAGTGTGACTAGCATGAGGACACAGAACTAATTATGTGCAGAGCTGAAATCAACACGTAGACTCACATTCCACCTGACAGTGTTAGGCAGCCTAGCTCTGCACTTAGGAGAGTGGATTCTGGGTTTGGACCACCTGGATTCACACCCAGCCATGTCACTCTCAAGTTGTATGAGTTTAGGCCAGTTACAAAATCTCCCTGTGGTTCAATTCCTCTCTCTCTCTGTAAAATAGCAACAGTAATAGTATCCAATCCCTAAGAGTCCCTGGGAAGATGACTGAAAGAGTTAGAAGCATTTAAAGTGCTTAGAACAGTGTCTGGCACATAGTGAATGTTCAATAAATTTGAGATATTATCATTAGCATGAACTCCAAGGGAGCACTAGCAATTTACAGACTTCCAGATGTGTCCCAACAGTTCAAGGGAAGGAGGCACTAGCTCAGAATGGAAGATGCTACAAAGCTTACTTGATTTTCCTAAAAATGTCCTATAAGGAAAAAAATCTCACTGATAGCTGAGGGATGTAAGATAATGATCAGCTAAAAGAGTTTCTAGGGGTAAAGGCCTGCCATAGATCGTGTGTGTGTGTGTGTGTGTGTGTGTGTGTGTGTGTGTGTTTGAGAGATGAGCCTTTCCAGCCCTTCCCAAGCAATGGATGCTTTAGGAGTTGCATCGGTGAACATTGAAATGCAATTCTCGGCTTTCTAGGATTATTGCAAAAGATATTTTTTCAAATTTTTCTCCTTTCTTAAATCTCTACAACCCTGCCCTCTTTCCCATACTTTGCTCACCTTTCTAACTGTCCTAGTTTCACACCTATTTTAGTCATTAAGCCAAGTCATTTCTTCCTAGCCCTTGTACAAGCCCCCCAGTATGATGTGGCAATCTTGTAAACCAATGCCAGTATTGTACATGAACTCATACGGGCATAAACACACAGTGCATGTACATAGGACCACTCCCACCAGCAGACACACTCTAACGTCACTACAGAGCCTATATTGTTTCTGGAACTTTGTAGAACAACTCTCAGTAATTTCATCCTCAGTGCTAATTTGTTGTTAGCTGCCATCGAGTCGACTCTGACTCATGGCAACCTTATGTACAACAGAACAAGACATTGCACCAGCCTGCATCGTCCTCACAGTCATCACCATGTTCAAGCCCATCCTTGTGGCTATTGTGCCAATCCATCTCACCGAGGGTCTCTCTTGCCCTCATTGGCCGCTATTTCACCAAACATGAAGTCCTCCTCTAGCTATTGATCCCTTCTGATGACATGTCCAAAGAAAGTGAGTCAGACAGTGTTCTGTTGTGATCCATAAGGTTTTCATTAGCTAATTTTCAGAAGCAGATCACCAGGCCTTTCTTCCTAGTCTGTCTTAGTCTGGAAGCTCCACTGAAACCTTTCCACCATGAGTGACCCTGCTGGTATTTGAAATACTGGGAGCATAGCTTGCAGCATCAGAGCAACATGCAAAGTACAACACCAAAGGATGGCACTCAAGCCACCAAAATATGACAAACAGGCAGACAGATGGTAGAGAGCTAACTTAAGTAAACCATATTGTTCTATGTTCATCATCTTCTATGAAAGAGCCTTTTACATACACTGAACAGCTGATGATTTGGAAAGCACTTTATAAGCTGTACCAGTAACTATGGTAACACAGATCCATGTTGGCAGCCAAGCTCCTCAAAATACAGCCAGAATTCAATCAACACCTAAAATAATACGGATGGTTTAAAAAGTAACTGCTAGGCTTATATAGCCTCTTCCTCCTCCCACAAAAAAAAAGAAAAAAATACTAATCCTAACTGAGTTCCATAATAGTATACAAATCACTACTCATCTCTCTTTTCTACAGAAAAAAAAATCATAGTATTTGCTCAAAAGTTTTGTTGGTTCATCATTTTTGGTTTTTAATTCTGGCAAATTGATCCAATCATTTTGGAAAGAGAGACCCAGATTTAGTGATATTCCCCCCAGATAATATTTCTATGAAATACATGTTTCTTTAACTCTGAAATAATAATACTAACCTTCTACTTTGTGAAAGTGGCTAAAACATTTGTTTATCTAAAATGCTTAGCATAGTCTAGCATATAGTAAGAATCCCATAAATGGTGGCTATTTTATTATCAATATGTTCGTGTTTTTTTTTTCCCTGAAGAAACTTATTCTTTCCTTAAATATCTATGTCACAGTCCCAGTTGGTGGAAGATTTCCGAGAACTGTGGAGTTTATTAGAGGCTAAGAACATGTTCAAGGCCAACTTGGGGTTCTACTTCCTTCAACTGGCCCAGATCTTGATTTTGGAAGCCCTGTCTTGGCTAACAGTGTGGAATTTTGGCAGTTGCTGGACTGTTACAATACTCATTTCCTTTCTTCTCACCATTTCTCAGGTATGCAAGTACTCTAAGCCCAGGCAGTGGTCTCAGGGAAAGGTTCAGAAATTTTTGTTTCTTCTTCAGACTGTTGTCAACTACCTCCTGACACTTCTTGGCAAACTACTTTCCAATGTCTGAAACTTAGCAGCAAGTTACCAAACCTCACTGAGCCCTAGATCCCTCATCTGTAAAACTGAGATAATAATTTTCCTCATGGAATTATTCTCAGGAAAACTAGCAAACTAATATGTAAAATGCCTAGCACAGTGGCTGTAATACGATACATGTTCAATTAATGATAATTGCTACCAGTCCAGTTGCCGTCGAGTTGACTCCAACTCATGGCAACTCCCTGAGTGTTGGAGTAGAGCTGTGCTCCATATTGGTTTCCAATGGCTGATTTTTCTAAAGTAGATCTCAGACCTTTCTTCTGAGGCTCCTCTGGGTGGACTTGAGCCTCTAAACTTTCAGTTAGAAGCTGAGTACATTAACCATCTGCATCACGCAGGGACTCTGAGAATTGCTACCATTAGCCCTAATATTTGCACACAAGTCCAGTCACCAGCGATCTGTCCTTGGCCATACAACACTGATCCTTTCATTCATTAACAAACCAACATCAATCAATGCATCAGTGCATCAGACTATGAATTCTTTAAGGGCAGAGACTACATCTTACTATATGAGAATAAGAACATATGGGTTCCACTGTGAGTGACAGTACAACTGACATGGCAGGAAATCTGATAAATCTTGGTTGAATAAAATACAAATCTCTAGCCTAGGTTACACTGTGCTGTGGATACAAAGAGAAATGTACATGACGCTGCCCTCAAGACACATGTCATCCAGCAGAGAATATAGTTATTCAGACAACCAGACATACTACACGACAGAATGGCACCGACACCAAGAAAAGGAAAAGCCACGTGCTGTTGGAGCTCAAAGAGGCATTTGATTCTGGTTGGAAAAACTGAGGAAGGTTTTGTAGAGAATTAGCAGCAATGTGTGTCCAAAGACCAATAAATAAATAAATAACCCTGTGCCATCATCATAGCAACCCTATAGGACAGAGTTGTACTACCCCATAGGGTTTCCAAGGCTGTCTTTACAGAAGCAGACTGCCACATCTTTCTCTCAACGAGTGGCTGCTGGGTTTGAACCACCAACCTTTCAGTTAGCAACCAAGCTCTTTAACCACTGCACCACCAGGGCTCCATAATGTGTCCCCAGATTCCAGTAATTTTTTTTTTTTTCTTGAAAAGCCAATGGGCTTTTTTCCTTCAAGAGTAACTTTTCTAAACAAGAAGCAAACATCTGTTTGGTGTTTAACATGAGTGGGGCACTTGACACATATTTAAGCTGCTCAACAGCCCTGTGAGCCAGTTACTATTATCCCCATTTATCAGATGAGGATGTGAGGTTCAGAGCCATTGGTAACTTGCCAAGAGTCACAAAGTTCAGAAGTGGTAAAGAATGGTTTCGAACCCAAACCTGCCTAGCTCTAAAGTCTTTCTGCTCCACTCTGGAGGATTTTGATGGTGACAAGGAATGCTTTCTAGGCTGAGAGAATCACCTATGCAAAGGCACAGAGTTAGGGAAGAACATGCCATATGTGGGAAATAGAAAGTAAACTTGGCTTGAGGTCCAAGATCACCCACTCTTCTTGGCAAGCAGGCTCCTGAATGTACTGATAGACTCATTCATTGGTTTCTTCTTGGCTTCTCTAATAACAACTTTGTCTCTTCCTAGGCTCAGAGTTTATTTTTGCAACATGACTCAGGACATCTTTGCATATTTAAGAAGTCCAAGTGGAACCACCTGATGCATAAATTTACGGCAGGTCATCTCAAGGTACAGGCTGTTCAGGGAGTAGGATGGGAATTCTTGAACATCATTCCCTAAGGCAGTGGTTTCCAAGGTTTTTTGATTGTGCACTCATGTCGATAAAAAATGTTTATGCACACCCCACAAATAAAATGTAAATATACTACAGTGTAGATCATATATAAACCGTTTGACATCAGGTCAATCCAACTCACAGCGACCCTATAAGACAGAGTAGAACTGCCCAGTAGGGTTTCCAAGGAGCGGCTGGTGAATTCAAACTGTCAACGTTTGGTTAGCAGCCATAGCTCTTAACTACTGTGCCACCAGGATATATATATTAAGAGGAGTCCCTGGGTGGCATAAATAGTTAAGAAGTCGACTACTAGCCGAGAGATTGGTGGCTTGAACCCACCCAGAGGTGCCTCAGAGGACAAATTGACAGTCTACTTCCAAAAGGTCATAGCCTTGAAAACCCGATGGAGCGCTTCTACTCTGTAACACATAGGGTCGCCATGAGTTGGAATCAACTCAATGGCAACTGGTTTGGGGGATTTTTTGTTTGTTTGTTTCTTTTACAATTGAGACTAATGTTTAAAGGGGTGAATGATTTAAGCCAATACCCTATAAACTGGTAAATGGAAGAATTCATAGTACAGTATTAAATATTATCGGCTCTAGAGTAGTGCTTCTCAATTCTGGCTGTCATTTTGGAGTCACCTGAGGACATTTCAAAAACCATTGAGGCCTGGACACTACTCTGGAGCTTCTGATCTAACTCATCTGCAGTGAGGTCTAGATGTTAGCATGGTTTTGAAAGTTCCCCAGTGATTCTAACCTTCAAATAGGGTCAAGAATCACTCTTCTAACGACAGACCTGACTTCTGCGGGACCTCAGCCACTAACTTTCTCGGTCACTTTAAACAAGCTTCTTAAAGTCAGTTAACCTCAGTTTCTTCAACTCTAAAAATAGAGGTAGGTGATGGCTTCAACCTCATAGGGCTGTTGTTAGGATTATATGCAATATCCACACAGTGCCTAGAACATAGGAAATGCTCAATATATGTTAGCTGCTGTTAATATAGGAGCAATCTTTCCACGTATCAAAATAAGGAGCCAGAATCATTAAGAAAAGTGTTCAGTCATGATGGTATTAAGAAGTTAAGGAACTAGACCATACGTCAGAGCATTGTTGAGTTGGAAGATTCTTGCAATCACCTTTTTTCCAGTTGAAGGAACTGAGGTTTAAGTAGATTAAATAAGAGAGTTAGATCTGGAATCACACTAGAAATGTGTCTATACCCCAAAATGGTCTGAATGAATAACGTATTGTCATTTTATGTGACAAGTTTCATTTATCCAGAAAATTCCTGTAGAGAAATTAGTCCATCCCGATTCCGCCAGTGTTACATAGATGAGGTGTTTCTGGATTCACTCAGAAATTTACCACAGAATAAAAGCAGAGAAGGTTTCTTACATCCTTCTGAGGTTCAGGTAATAGGCCCTTCCACCTTATCTCCCTTGTTGTGAGGAGTCAGAGAGAGGAAAGACAAGACTCATCTGCCCTAAAGGTGATTGGCAATGGATTTGGTTTTGGTACATGGAATGCTTCAGATCAGCCCCACACTCACTGGTGCTTTTAAAAATCACTGCTTTCCCACTGGTCCAGATTTGTACACTGCTGTCTCTGTACCAATTGCATCTTCAGAAACAATTTTGCATGAGTTGAAATGAATATAACCTCAATGACTTATGAATTGAGTGAGGAAATGGGAAATGGCTCTAAAAGGAAACCATGTGTACTCTGCCTTTCTGCAGGCAAAACCAGTGATTTGTGAGCAAAAATGAATATAGCACTCAACTATGTGCAGGAGGGAAAATTACTTACGGGGAAGAAAGGTGGGCGGTAAGGTAGTAACAAAGAAAATGATAATATAAACAGCAACATCCTCGCCTTACACTTGCATCTCAATTTTATATTTTAAAACTTGATTTCGGGTCAATTAACCTTTCCCCCAGAAAAGGCACAGATATTGAGATTCTACAGAGTTTTCATTCATAAGCTGTGCAAACATATCGGTGTTCTGGTCTTTGCAGTGTTTGCACAATAAAAGAGCCTTCTGAAAATGAACCACAAAATGCCTGTGTACATTTTGGACTTTTATGCAATACTGAAATCAAAATAGAACCCCCTGTAGCATATTTTTTTTAACAACCACCTCAGTATGCACATTTTGAAAACAATAAGAATCAAATGTTCTTACAGGGATAATGGGACAAAAAGACTTGAAATCTGGACCTTTCTAGAAAATCTGGCTTACGCTGTTTCCGTGATCACATCCTAAAACCTTTGGGGAGGAAGGAGTGTCAAGCTTCTTGTTTCTTGTAATCCTCCAGCAGCCTCATCCATTTGACAAATGAGGAATTTGTCCAAGGTCACACAGCTAGTAGATGGTCAAGCAGGGATTTAAACTCAGGTTGGTTTCACTACAAAACCTGGGTTCTTTATAACGCATTGCCATTGAGTGGATTCCAACTCATGGTGACCCCATGTGTTACAGAGTAGAACTGTTCTCCATAGAGTTTTCTTGACCATAATCTTTATGGAAGCAGATTGCCAGGCCTTTCTTCTGTAGCACCGCTGGGCGGGTTTGAACCACTAGCCTTTAGGTTAGAAGTCGAGCACAAATGACTTGTACCACCCAGTGACCCTGGGTTCATTATAGTGCACCAAAGTCCTAACTTGGAAATAGGAAATGACAGGGTGGTTCCTGTATAGCACTAGGGACATGGGAAGGCTGTTTTCATGCAACTGATAATCCTCACTTCCCCATGGGTACTCTCTCCGTTATCTCTGGGAATAATGGCTTCCAGACATAGGTGGCCAGGATGGAACCAGCTGCTTTAGATCACACCCTTCATTACTCTGGTATGGCTGACAACTGTTCTAAGCTCCAGGGCCTTGAGCTGTTAAGATCTGCTCCTGACCCATGATGAATCAAAATCTGTCTGCCACATTAACACTGGTGGTTGTTCTAAAAGGGTGGAGTCAGCTGGTGGAAGAGCCCAAAATGTTAGCTCTCAGAGGCTTTAACTGACGAAGAGAATCATGGCTTATGACACTGTGTTCTAACAACTTGTTTTATTGTCTACTGCTCCCCATTAGATTGTATGTGCCATAAGTGTGAGAATCCCATTTCATCGTGTTTCTCTTTATGTTCCCAACACTCACCTCAGTAGTTGACACATGGCACATGTGTCAGAGTAAATAGTAGGTGGATGAATGAATGAAGGCACACATGAGGGAGTGAGTGGGTAACCTGCAATTTCATCGGAGAAGTACAGAATGCAACGAGGTCCTAGAAAAGAGAAGAGAAATTGATGAGTATGGTTTGGGATAGGTTGAGTTTAAGATACCGTGAAACATTCAAAAGGAAATGTTTGGAAAGTGATTGCCGAAACAGGTGTGAGATTTAGAAGCTAGATCCAGGTTGGAGAGAGAGATTCCACTGTAAGAGTTTTAGGGAGAGTGTTAGAGGTGAGAAAAGAATATCGCTCCTCACGGGGGAGGGGGCACTTTGCTAAGAGGGGACCCGACAGTGAAGCCCGTGGAAAGGCAGTGCAAATCCCTAGAGATTTCCAAACATACCTTTCCCCTACTCCCACAAATGTACAGTGTCTAGACAGCGTGGCCAAAAGAAATAGAAGGTGAGCAATATTAAAATGGCATGTATCATTTTAAACTTTTTAATAGCCACATGTTTAAATGGTAACTTTATTTCCCAATATATCCAATATCCTATCATGTCAGCATGTAATCAATAAACCAATAATTGATGAGCTATTTTACATTCCGTTTTTTCCTGCACTGTCTTCAAGATCTGTATTATCTTACACTTGCATCTTAATTTGACTGGCCACATTTCAAGCCCTCAATAGTCACTTGTGGCTAGTGGCTACTGTGTTTGACAGTGCAGATTTGGAACACGTATAGACTAGTTATTGATGCCAAATACACAATAAAAAACTAATGCTACTGCTTATTATTCCATAAATGATTGATAGGTGAAGGGAGAAGAAACGGAATAGTTCTCATGTGCCAACACTTTACATACACCATCCCAAGTCTCCCCAAACCACCCATGGAGGTGGTAAATGTCATTATGCTGTATTTACTGGAGAGGAAATTGTGCTCCAAAGACGATGGGTGATTTGTCCAAACCATAGAGTCAGTATTTGTACAGTCAATATATGAAACCAGGTTGAGATGCTTCCAAATCCTTTGCTCTATTTAAACAAGCAGAAATTCATTGAGAGAGAGGGAAAAAGTCACAAATACCTCGTCAGAGATGATTTAAGCCTGGCACCCGTTGGAAGGCTTTTACTCTCATTTATTTTTGTTTGCGAGCATTGCAGCCTGGACATGCAGCTATCTGAGGCATGCCCCCTCCTGAGATCACTTCAGATCCATGATTCTTTGCAATACTCACTGCAGTAGGAGACCTGGGGCCACTTCTTTCCCCAGAACTCATTAAAGTCTCAGGGCCAATATTTCTTTATTTGTAAAATAGGAATAATAATGTCTGTCCTATCAACCTTCCAAGGTTTTTGTTTTATTTTTTAATGAAGATAAAATTTGAAAAAAAAGGACAAAAAAATTTGGTTTCAATGTGTTATGATTTTCATCATCAGGCATAGTTTTAGCCTGAAGTTGCGTTTCTGAGTCAGATAATTATTTCTTCATAGGCTGTGAAAGCCTGTATTGGATGAATCTTTCTAACTCGGCATGTTTGAGAAGCTCGGATGTCTTATTTCAACATTGTGTATGCATGCAGAAAACTCTGATAGTGAAAGATAGTACAGAAAAGAAGTCTTTAAGCTAATGAAACCTCTCCTCTCATCAGGGCTTATCATCAAACTGGTGGAATTATCAACACTTCCAACATCATGTAAAAATGAACATCTACCCCAAAGACCCAGATATTGACTTCAGCCCACTTATTTTGCTTGGAGATTTACAACCTGTGAAGGTACATTTAGAATCCTGGGCACCAGAGAAAGACAAAGTAGCTCCTGAAAAGGCCTACAGCCTGTCTTAGAAGATGAAGCTGGAAATTCCAGCTTCAAGTACATCTGAGAGCATCTCTCCTACTTTTTTTTATTATTATTATTGTACTTTAGATGATGGTTTACAGAACAAACTAGTTTCTCATTAAACAGTTAGTACACATATTGTTTTATGACATTGGTTAACAACCCCACAACATGTCAACACTCTCCCTTCTAGACCTTGGGTTTCCTATTACCAGCTTTCCTGTTGCCTCCTGCCTTCTAGTTCTTGTCCCTGTGCTATTGTGCCCCTTTAGTCTCGTTTTGTTTTGTGAGCCTGTCTAATCTTTGGCTGAAGGGTGAACCTCAGGAGTGACTTCATTATTGAGCTAAAAGGGTGTCTGGGGGCCATACTCTCAGGGTTTCTCCAGTCTCTGTCAGGCCAGTAAGTCTGGTCTTTTTTTTGTGAGT